TATGCGAAGATTATGGTTACACTATACTAAATGATGGTTCTCCAACGTTTCTACGGGGGCATAACTACTGCAGCGTACTAGACATTACTGTGTGCTCCTCTGAATTAGCGGCTGGAGCAGACTGGATTGCAGACGCTGACACAAGAGGAAGTGGCCACTTGCCAGTATTCATATATCACCCAAAGTTGAAGAAAACAAGAAATAACCGCACAACAAGAATCACAAACTGGGCAATCTTTCGAGAACTACAGAGACAAAATCTTGAACCCTGTTCTGACGCAGAAACGTATGCATCTAAGATAAAAAATTTTCTAACAAAAGCAACTCGTACAGTACCCATTCCAGATGGGTATTCGGGTGTTGACGCTGAGTATGAGAGGCTTCGGGCAATACGACGCCGATCTGAAAGAAGATACCGCAGGTCAGGTAATTTAGAAGACTTCAAGGTTGCACAGAAAGTACACACTACAATGCGTAACCAACTGCAGAAGCTTTCAACCAAAAGGTGGCAAGATTTATGTGCCTCACTTTCCCCATTTACCTCGGCGACTCAACTGTGGAACATGGTACGCGCCCTCCGACAGCCAGTAGTCCACTCGAGACCACTACAGGCTCTAGCGCTGTCTCGAGGAGTTAGCGAACGGGTGATTGCCGAAGAATTTTGCGATCTTATACTGAGAAATGGAGAGACCGCCCAAACGAGCGATTATAAATCCTCAGCAGAATCAGCTTCGGCGGTTGTAACAAAGTCCTCTGCGATCAGTTCATCAGATCTGGATGACAGCTTCACACCAGAGGAGCTCCAATATGTGTTGTCTTCAGTAAAACGAACAAGTTCACCAGGAACAGATAGAGTTACATACGCTGCTCTTGCTAATTTGTGCAAAAAAGGAAAATTACACCTGTTGGACATCTATAATAAAATTTGGCAAGAAGAAAAAGTTCCGGAAAGCTGGAAGATATCAAAAGTAGTACCGTTGCTAAAGCCAGGGAAGAGCCCTATGCAGTTGGACTCGTTTAGGCCGGTTAGTTTGACAAGTTGTTTTTCAAAAGTGATGGAAAAAATGATCAATGAACGAATTTTATGGTGGCAAGACATGAAAAAACTACTACCAGAAAGCATAGCCGGCTTCAGAAGAGGTAGATGCACAATGGACTGCATTCTGGATTTGGTCACAGATGTGGAAAACCAACGAACGCAAGGAAACATCACTGTCGCTGTATTCCTTGATGTCCACCGAGCATACGACACAGTGAGTCACGTTCACGTTCTGGAAGGCCTGGCGTTACAGGGATTCAAGGGCAAGATACTGCGTTGGATCGCTGACTTCCTGAAGCACCGGAAAATTTTTGTAGTTACGCAGGAGGGCCCAACGTCAGAACATGTCGTCAACCAAGGAGTGCCACAGGGCAGCGTACTAAGCCCTACTCTCTTTAATGCAGTCATGGCGCAGCTCCCGTATAATCTTCCACCCAAAATCAGATGTTCAGTATATGCTGATGATATAAGTATATGGACGTCTGGTCCATCGTTTTTGGATATACAACAAACTCTACAAGACGGATTGGATAATGTAGACCATTTTCTAAAACAAAGAGGTATGGCACTGAGTCTGGCCAAAACAGCCATACTTCCGTTTACATTAAAGAGACGTGGAAATTTCCAGATTAATCTGCAAAATCAGCCTATTAAAATGGTCAAAACTCATAAATTCTTGGGAGTAATTTTAGACCGGAGACTAACATGGTCGCCTCATGTCCAGTCCCTGGAACAAAAAGTGAATCAGGCCATTCGAATCCTCCGGCATCTCTGCGGGGCCAAATGGGGTGGTACTACAGAGTCGTTATTAGCCCTACATGTTGCCTGGATACGCCCCATCGTAACTTACTCACTGCCCCTGCTGCACGGACTCCCAGCCTCCACCGAAAGGAGACTGCACTTGTTATTGGCAAGGAGCTTGAGGGTATGTCTGGGTTTACCACGGTCAACTTCCAGTGATTTAGTGTATGCGGAGGCTCGAGAGCCACCTTTGGCAGTACTGCGAACTAAAGAAACAACTCGAAATTTATTTAGAATTTTCACGCAACATGACAGTCATTTTTTTATCTGGTGCACTAACACAAAGAACGGCAACGAGACTACAGGATACTATATCATCATTTCAAGCAGTAGTACCAGAATTTAAACAATGGAAACCTTCAAAACCACCTTGGACGCTGCCACTTCTCAACGTTATCCGTGAAATAGACGGCATAGAGAAGAAAGCAGCCATGGCACCTCTAGTAGCGGCACAGTTGGTACTTCATCAGCTTCATGTAATGTATAACGAAAAAACGAAGATATATACAGATGGATCATGCACAGAAGAAGCGTCAGCCTGTGCGGTCTTTATACCCGAAATTCAGGAAAAGAAGATGTACAAATTATCGCACAAATCTTCATCGACGACAGCAGAATTGGTGGCTATCTTTGAAGCAGTTAAGCTTATCTGCGAGAATCCAGATCCACGAAAATGGGTGATATGCACTGATAGCAAACCTGCTCTTCAGCTAATCAGAAATGTGAGATCACCTTACAGAAATGGTGAAATACCACAATGTATCGCAGAAACTGTGGAATATGCCTCATCGCAGGGTCACAACATCGTATTCCAATGGATACCCAGCCACATTGGAATAAAGGGAAATGAAGATGCTGATAGTCTCGCGAAGAAAGCATTGAAGGAAGGACGGGATTGCACAATCCCTATATCTGGGACGGATATTCGACATTTTATATCGCAAGGAGCTAACCATTGTTCAATGGAGAAGTGGTTTGAGAGCCCTAAATCAAAGGAAACGGTACTTTATGAAGTTGATCCACACAGAAAATTTTCCATAGCGACAGACCTTCCACGACACCTAGAGACATTGACCCACCGACTTAGATTGGAAGTAGCATACACAAACAGCTTCCTGCACAAGATACATCGATCCAACTCACCGGAATGCCATTGTGGTCATGCAGAAGAAAATGTTCGCCATATTCTTTTGGAGTGCATTAAATACGCGAAAGAAAGAGAAAAATTAAGGAACAAATTAGCAAGTTTGGACAGACGGCCCCTCACGATAAAGAAACTACTTGGACCATGGCCTGAGATGCATCTTCAGAAAAAGGCAATAATCTTCCTGACAGACTTTTTAGTGGAGACCGGACTGGACAAGCGCCTATGACTGACAGCCAGAAATGAGTATTATGTAAAGGGTGGTCATGTATATACTGGCATTAGAGTAGTAAGGTGTGCGTGAAAATAGTTTATGACTGTGTGAACTGCGTGAAGAAAACTGTGTATTGACAGGTTATTTGAACTGGTTTCAGTGTGCTATTATGTTTTTTTTCCGTATTGTTAATTTTTGGGTACCGTTCTGTATTATTTTTTTATTTTTCGCTGCAGAACTCTGTGATATGGAGTAGCCGAGGCAATAGGCTCCTCAACCTCTCCACAGCAAAACAGTTAAAACAACAACAACAACAACAACAACCCCATCTTTTCTTTAGGGTGTTATGATGCGTTCACTCGCGTCCCATCTTGCGCACAAACGTGGGCAGATTTCTATACACTCCTCGTGATGCCATTTTCTCTGTTGCTTTCGGAAATGTACAAAGGAAGAAGTTCCGTAGGAATGGAAGGGATGCTTGCCTGCAAGCCTATTCATCCTGACAACTTCTACGTCTTACTACATACACGTTACTCTACACAATGTGCATACCCCTAACAAAAAAATCAAACGAACAAACGTTGATACAAGATGAATGCAGCTTGGGGTTTGTTGCAGACACACGGGGCTATGCGATGAGAAGAGCTCTGACAACTGTTTCTATGGAAAACGCCGGCGATGTCCTCCACGGTGCATTCACTTTTCAATGACGCAACGCCAGCGCCGAGTCGCATAAGATCACAGCGCATTGTTTCGATAATTTTCAGTTCCGCACAAGATGTAGAATTAACGTTCCCGACAAGTGCACATAGCTCTTTTCTCTCAGTCAGTTTAGCGGGTCTATACAACTTGCCACAGTATAGCGGCGATATCTACAAAATGCGTTCGCGAAGGAACCAGCCTATGGCGATAGCACTATCCAATACCAAGAATGCAGCCTACAACGTTAGCTCCATACAATACCGCGTTTATCCAAAGACGACAGGGTACAAAGCGTGACCTGTATGAAATCATATATTATTTATTAATAATTTCAGCACACTGTACTCGCTGCTCATAGCACACAACGACACTTGATACTTGTTTCTACACCTTTCTTTTTCTGCAGTTCCAGTTGCTTGTTAAGTATTTGGTGTAAGAAAGTCAACTGTGCATTTGTTCTGGATACCCTTCATACCTATGCTTTCTTTGAGCTCTCCTCTGGCTGTGTTGGACATTCTTTTTTTTTTCTTTTCTGAAATTCATAGCTACTTGCCCTTCCTTTTCAACAGTGCAAAACAGCTGAATCACGGATTAACCTGTTTTGGTTTATTAACATGTATTGAACGCCACTACTTGAGAACTAAAGTACCACGATCAGATTTTGACCATAAATACAGGATAAAAGAACAAGGATTTTAAAAGCATTTTATACTCTCTTGCAAGACCAGTAGGAGGAGGTTCAGCTGTGGAGACACTCCCGAGCATCAGCCACAGCTGATGAACAGACCCGGGCTTTTATTCAGCCAAAGTACAAAGACACCTGGAATGGGACGATCATTCACCTCCGGGCATAAACAGCCTGGTCAACAAAATGAAGTTTATTCTTCTTCCCCAGATCATTTCGTTTCTGTTCAAATTTTGTTTACGCCTGTCGGTAAGGTTCAAACATGGGACGGAAGGTGTGTTACCGAATATTACCTCGTACATCATTGCGAACGTAACAACGGCACTCTATTGTGAGTCATTTGTATCCCCCTCTCTCTCCCCCACCTCTTCTTGAGTCGACCTTGGACCAGTTTCATCGGTCTGCAATGACTCACCGTTGCGGCGACGGCTCCGGGCGCTGTGTCCACCGTTCCGCACGATTCCCGGACCATGTCGGCGACCCAGGCGGTCAGCAGGCCGGCCTGCCTCGACGAGACCCGGCTACATTCCACCAGAGTGGCCAGCTTGTCCAGCTGACGTTTCCGCCAGGACGACGACGCCATTCCCGCTAGTTTGCTTGTCACCGACGATTCACGGCGTGGTCGCTCTTTGCCATCCATTTTCTTTATTATTTTTTAGTCTCTTCGATCACAACTGACGGAAAGCGCTACACGTGTCGTCGGTCGTATCACGAGCACGAACCCATCGGCACGAAGGCATAGCCGTACAATGACTCAAACCGGGCTCCATGGCAGCAGCCGTGACAGCGGCAACATATTACTCGCGCCGTTGTTTGGCACACTTGAGCGCACTGGGTGCCCTAGTTTACGTTCGAAACGCCTCATTGTAAAAGATGCTCGATCGATATTCTCCGACTCTTGATGGCAGGTCGACACCTCACGGATCAACATCTACCACAGAGGGGCTTGCTGCGTGGTTACCCTGGTTTCACAGGAGGCGAAGTGGGCACACGCGGAAACCACCATAAGTTTGTGTCGACAGAAGACGACTCATGAGCTCACACGTTAGCCACTGCCACTATGCACCACATTCCTGGTTTTTGTCGGTTTCGCGTAGCCGATTTTCCGCAGTGCACTATGAACGCACCCAAAAGCACCTCTTTGTGGGATACTATCATTAATTTCACAATTTTAGCTGCATTCCGTAAAACAAACTGTTCATGAGAGCACTGGGAAAGAAATAATTCGCGTGACACACACAGCCTTCGAGTTATGCAGCTCGAGGGTGACGCTGCAAGCCGGGCAGAAAGGCACAGCAGCGTGCGTGCTGCGACAGGCACCTCGTAAATCGACCCGAAGCGAGCACGTACACAACGCTGTCACCTGCAACTTGGGCGATGGGAATGACACAGCGATGCAGCCCGTCGACGCATCCCAGGTAACGCCGCCAATCTGTGCAAAGATCAGCAGCGGCGGTGCACCAGCGGTACGTGCCCGCTGCGGAAGAAGGGCAAGGCCGGAAACACAGTGTGTCGCTCAATGCACAAGCTAGCACTGCAGCGTCCCATCACGGACATCTTCAGTAGCGGCGATGAACGGCGAATCAACGCTGCTCAAATCCTCAGTCGACGAAGTATCCGCGCAACAACTAGAGCCGTACACTAGGGTACACGTACGAAACCGGCTCGAAGAGGAGAAACGTCTTCACATCAACCGAAGGGCGGCATCTTCTCCGTCCACGGTGTAAACCAGCGGTCGCCATATGCAGTGCGCGAAGGAGGTGAACACGGGAAAGTAATGCAGGAGCTGTAGTGAATGGCCAGCTGCGGCTGCGTCGCGTGCACTGAGTCCGTGTCGTAGCCTCGCACGCAGCTGTCCTCCCCGTCCCAACCCAACGAAAAAGGCTGGGGAAAAAAGCAGATCTGTGCAGAGACAACGCCGTTCGTGCACGTACAGGTGGGCAGGCTGTGCGGATATAGCTGTTGCTGCCCGTGAAAGCAGCAAGTGTGCCTGCTGCGCCTACCACGCGGCAGGAGACTACGTCACGGGCCCCGGTGACATGTGCGCGACGCGCGCAGGCCCGCGGTTCGCAGTATCAGGCCACGAGTCGCTGCGCGAAACGGCGGCCTGCAGAGTGGGGAGAGGAGCGACATCGTGTAGAGCAGTGCGGCTCGCACGCGATGCGAATATTTGGATTGCGCGGGGGCTCTTGCGGTGGAGACGGCTATTGAAACGAAGTCACTAAATATATATATATATATATATATATATATATATATATATATATATATATATATATATATATATATTGTTAAGGCGTTTAATAGCCGGTCCACAGCGAGCAAGCACAATGGCGACAGTAACGGTCAAGCACGGGCTCTCAGTGCGAGCGGCGTCCTTGTTGGTTAGCCCAACTAGAAGGTACTCAAGAGTTCGACCCATTTCATAGTTCGGAGGCTTCGCTACAATTACCCCGGGGTCGAAGAGGGAGCCGCCTGGCGACCTAACAGCTTGATATTATGAGCGGGTCATAATAAGCCTTCAGGCGCTCCACGTTGACGATGTCTCGCCCACGGCGGCGCATGTCCGAAGATTGTTCAACGGGTTCGATCAGATAGTTGACGGGTGAGGTGCGCTCGATGACACGGTAGGGGCCTTCGTATTTGGGACGTAGTTTGGAAGAGAGGCCAGCGGCAGAGGTCGGGATCGAGAGCCATACAAGCGCACCAGGAAGGAACGTGGGCTCAGAAGTGGCGCTGGCATCACGGATACTCTTCTGCCGCTCTTGCTCTTGCGTCGTAAAAGTCTTGGCAAGCTCGCGACACTCTTCAGCAAGCCTGGCTGTCTCGGAAATAGGTGTACACTCAGATGGATCCGGCGTGTACGGGAGTATCGTGTCCATGGTGTGCGACGGGTGCCTTCCGTACAGCAAGTAGAAAGGTGAAAAACCAGTCGTGCTCTGAGGGGCGGTGTTGTAGGCGTAGGTGACGAAGGGCAGTATATTATCCCAATTAGTGTGGTTGGCAGCGACGTACATAGAAAGCATGTCGCCGAGGGTGCGGTTAAAGCGTTCGGTGAGGCCATTCGTCTGTGGGTGGTAAGCAGTAGTTTTGCGGTGGACAGAATGGCACTCCGTCAGAATGGCTTCGACGACTTCCGACAAGAAGACACGGCCTCGATCGCTGAGAAGCTCTTGGGGTGGTCCGTGGCGCAGTATAAATCGATGCAGCAGGAAGGACGCAACATCGCGCGCAGCAGCCGCAGGGAGAGCAGCGGTTTCGGCGTATCGCGTTAAATGGTCAACGGCAACGATGGCCCAGCGGTTACCAGCCGACGTCAGAGGAAGTGGTCCATACAAATCGATACCTACGCGCCCAAAGGGACGGTCAGGGCAAGGTAACGGTTGTAGACTGGCGTGCGACATGTGAGCTGACGGTTTACGGCGTTGGCAAGTGAGGCAAGAGCGAACGAACTACTGCACATAGCGGTACATCCCGCGCCAGAAGTAGCGTTGTCGAATGCGATGGTAGGTTTTGAATACCCCAGAGTGCGCGCATTTCGGATCAGAATGGAAGGATTCACATATCTCTGACCGCAGACTGCGGGGTATCACGAGTAACCACTGCCGGTCGTCGGCGTCGTAATTGCGTCGGTGTAGAAGGCCGTCACGAATGGCGAAATGGCGAGCTTGACGACGCAATGCACGCGTGGATGGCGTTGCGGATGGATCAGAGAGCAAGTCGATCAGCAGGCTGATCCAATTATCCTTTCGCTGTTCGGTAGCGATTATGTCAACGTCAATGGCAGAAACAGCAGCCGAGGATACTGAGCAGAGCACATCACCTTCAGGCAGAGGGGAGCTTGAGAGGGCGTCGGCATCAGCATGCTGGCGTCCATTGCGGTACAGCACGCGGATGTCGTAGTCTTGTAAACGAAGAGCCCAACGGGCGAGACGGCCTGAGGGATCCTTCAATGATGAAAGCCAGCATAGTGCATGATGGTCGGTGACGACATCGAATGGGCGACCATACAAATACGGTCGAAACTTTGTAAGAGCCCAGACGATCGCCAGGCACTCTTTCTCCGTGACGGTGTAGTTTGTCTCAGCTCTCGTGAGCGTACGGCTTGCATATGCTACGACATATTCAGGAAATCCGGGTTTGCGCTGCGCCAGGACAGCGCCGAGGCCTACACCGCTGGCGTCTGTGTGCACCTCCGTCGGGGCCGTAGGGTCGTAGTGGCGTAGAATGGGAGGAGATGTCAACACATGGCGGAGCTTCGCGAACGCGTCGTCGCACTCAGACGACCACGAATTCAGGGACCCGTTACTTTCAAGGAGCTTCGTCAGCGGTGATATGATCGTGGCAAAGTTTCGTATGAAGCGTCGGAAGTACGAGCACAGGCCCACGAAACTACGCAGTTCTTTGACGGACGCAGGTTTGGGGAATTTGGCCACGGCCCGAAGCTTGGCTGGGTCAGGAAGAATGCCATCCTTGGACACGACGTACCCAAGGATGGTGAGTTGCCGTGCTGCAAAGCGGCACTTCTTCAGATTTAGTTGCAAGCCGGCATTGCTGACACGTGCAAACACTTCTTTCAGACGTTGGAGGTGCGTAGAGAAATCTGGAGCGAACACAACAACGTCATCGAGGTAACACAAGCACGTGTGCCATTTCAAGTTGCGCAGAACGGTGTCCATCATGCGCTCAAAGGTCGCAGGTGCATTACATAGACCAAACGGCATGACGTTGAATTCGTACAAGCCGTCGGGTGTGATGAACGCAGTCTTCGGTCGAGCGTCATCAGCCATGGGTACTTGCCAGTACCCCGAGCGCAGATCGAGTGAAGAAAAAAATTCGGCTCCGTGAAGGCTGTCAATTGCGTCATCGATGCGCGGCAGTGGGTAAACATCCTTGCGAGTGATCTTATTGAGCCGTCTGTAGTCTACACAGAACCGCGCAGAACCATCTTTCTTCGCAACAAGAACAACAGGAGACGCCCATGGACTGTCCGAGGGCCGAATAACGTCGCGTCTGAGCATATCATCAACCTGCTCGTTAATTTCCCGACGTTCAGCAGGCGACACGCGGTAGGGACGTTGCCGTAATGGTGGATGGGCACCAGTGTCGATACGATGCGTAACAGCGGACGCACGACCGAGAGAACTTCGCCCGACATCGAAAGAAGAACGATATTCTCGCAACAGGTTCAGAAGCTGGGAACGCCGTGCCGACGTGAGGTTGTCATCAATGCAAGGGCCAAATACATCAGGAGATGACGAATCAGAAGTGGAAACAGCACTGATGGTACGCAAATTGGGACAACGCGAGTCATCAGGTACGTCCAGGACTTGTGCGTTATCCACTGGTTCCACTCTGCCGAGACATTCCCCTCGAACCAAGGTAACAGTGTACGGGGATGGGTTGGTCACGAAAATAGAGGCGTTGCCCTGGGTGATTTGCACGGTCGCGAAAGGTACTAGCAACCCTTTCCTTCGGCAAGCACGGTCGGATGGCGAAACGAGTGCAATTGTGTCGGAGAGTCCAGCGCAGTAGACAGATACACCCATCGTGGAGCTTGGAGGCACTATGGTATCGTCTTTCACGAGAATCTTGCTCACTTTCGAAGAACTGCCTTCCGGCGTCAAATGCGAGAAGGGGGAGAGTTCAATTTCGGCGGCGGCACAATGGATGACGGCGTCGTTGCGGGAGAGAAAATCCCACCCCAGGATGACGTCATGAGAGCATGCGGGAATGATGATGAATTGGGCGACATACAGAACGTCCTGAACGACAACGCGAGCTGTGCACCCTGCTGTAGGATGGATACGATGCAAACCGGCGGTACGAAGGGACAATCCAGAAATTGGCGTCGTCACTTTACGAAGCAAGCGGCAAAATTTTTCGTCCATAACGGATACTGCAGCTCCTGTGTCAATAAGAGCAGATGCGTGAACACCGTCCACAAGCACGTCAA